TTTGTTGGGCAAACCTGCAGGTGGTTTTCAGCGCTTACTATTGCATGAAAACGCGGTTCCGTGAATTTGGTGTTTATGTTGTTTCTTTTGTTAATTTCTGGGGGGGGGGGGGGGGGGGGGGGGGTGGGGTCTGTGTTTATAATTTGTTGAGCAGATAATTTTTCGATTTTATGACACTTATAATGAAAGTAGCGGTGTTTAATAGTAATAAGAAAATTCATTTAATCTAACTTGCGGTGCCAGAGGGTATGATTGCAGAAAGGTGATGAAGGCACATATACAAATGTAGAAATACACAACAATATGCGAGCATAAAAAAAAAACACTAACACCCAATTTTTTTTTTTTTGCGAGGCGATTTTTTATGGTGTTAAGAGACTACCCGATCAATATTTTGCTTCAGTCACGTATATTTTTTTTAATAAAGCCAACAAACTCAACTGCTCGAAACTGAAACACGAGCTCGGAAGCTCATGGCCGGAAGTCACGTGACTACACCCGACCGCGCCTTTTTTTTTTCCTCCGCTTTTTTTGTGTGAAGCAGACGACGAAGTTCCGTGCACCGCGTTTGCCGTGCGATTGTTTTGCCCTATCCGTATCCCTATCCGCTCGATGTTCTGCGCTTGAAGATCGATTAGCCGGTACCCACGAACGACAGTTCCGAAGTACCGGCCCCCCGTCCGTCGCAACGTTGGTCCGTTGTTCGCTGCCATCGCGTTGTCCAGTCCGCGGTATGCCCCGCGGTAACGTTGCCACATACTATGGGGACTTTTAGCAAACCGCTAAGGCTGGTTCACACTGCACCGTTTTCTTACCTATACTTACGTTACGGTATGAGTCGCCGAAACATTGGTGTCTCGACTGTCGCGTGCCAGGCTATATCTCCTCGAACTGGTAGGCACGCTTGTCCCGGCGACTTCGTAAGGTAACGTATGAAAACGGGGCTGTGTGAACACGGAACACGCGGACGGTTCGCTGGAAGTCCCTATTGAGAATGACGTGTAATGTACCACCTGTAATCTGTTCAACATTTTTTTAAAATTGTTATTAGCGTATTTGCGTTTTTGTTTTTTTTTGGAAGCCACAAAAATGGGGCCCGTATTATTTTTTTTTAAATTTTTAATATTGAATGTGTTCTTTGGATGACCCACGACTTTGAATATGTTTGGTACACCGTTTGAACGCCACGTAACACCCTAAAAAAAAAAAAAAAAAAAGTACCAATGCGGCTACCGCTCGTTTTGATCCACGCTCGATCGCCTGATTCGGTTTGAGACTACATTCCGGGAGGCATTGAAAAATAGTCAAGTCGCTGATAAATATAATAATGGTAAGAAAAAAAAATTCCAATACTGCAGTATGTCTTTTTTCTTTTTTTTCTGGAGATAAATAGTTTCCGTCCTGATAAATGGGTTTTCAACCAATGGACGATCGGGTTGTTCTTTAGACGTGTAACTAAGCTTTCACGATAGCTTGGGATGTAAAAACACGCGTAGACGACATCCGTCTGCCTCGCTTTATCTGCACTTGGCTAAGGTCATGGTTTAATATACAGAAAAGCAGTCTGACCTTTATCGGGTTTAACGAAATTCCTTCCGGCCCTGTCGGTTATAGTTTGCTTCGACGGAGATAAGTATCGCCAAAAGTTACGCAGAGAAGATTTCATAAAAAAGCATCTGGCATTCCAGACTTTGCACCGTAACAGTTCGACAAAAAAAAAATAATAATACCGCGTTTTACATGTTGACTTAAACAGCGCAAATAAAGTAAGGAAGGAAGAGACAACATGAAGGAAAGAGCGCTGACTCACTACTGAGATTTTAATGAAGAGGCAGTAAAAGAGAAGAAAGATGTCAAGTGCGCTAACATTAATAAAGGAAGGAAGGGAGGGGAGGTATAGTTAAAAAGTTAACCTCTCTTGAAAGTCATTTTTTTTTTTTTTTTGTAATTAGTATCATTTTTTGATAATTTTTGTAACTATACCTCCTCTTCCTTACTTTATTAATGTTAGCGCACTTGACATCTTTCTTCTCTTTTACTACCTCATCATTAAAACCTCAGTTGTGAGTCGGCGCCACTGATCTCAATGACAATTGCTGGATCGCGCTTGCCGCTCCCGCAAGTGAAGCCACCGGACTTCACTCGCTTGGGATACGATTTGCCGTTTTTGCTAGCCTTTGCTGCGGTTTTCCAGCGTGCTGTGGACACGTTTTCTACTCGTTCGTCGTCATTCGCCGAAGAAGATTTTTGAAGACTCTGTATATTGTTGAGACTTGCCGTCGTGAACACGTGGAAAATTTTACGAAAGTGCAGTGTCGCAGGAAAAAGGCACAACGCGTCGAAAGGAAGGGCTGGCGGCGTGTTCAAAGCTTCCTTGGCACGCCGAAGTGCCGTGTCTCTGTGCCTTCGCACGCTTGGATACCGACCAAGAATCGACTCCGTGTGGATGTGTTTTGCGAGTGCAATGTGCGTGAAGCCGTATCAAAAGGTACAACTCGTCGAAAACAAGTGTCGCCGGTGTCGCGGCGTGATCAAAGCTTCCTTGGCACACCGAGTGATGCATCTTTGTGCCTTCGCACGCTTGGATACCGGTCAAGAATTGACGCCGCGCCAAAGTTCTGAACGTGTGTCGCGCGTAGAAGCCTTTAGATCATTTATATATATCGGCCACAGAGTTCTGGATCGTCCAGCTGTTCCGGTGAGTTGCTATCAATAAAAGGGAGAGATCTGTACGTGTTCTTATGTACTATATTAACCATGGCTATGTCCCAAATCTACTCTAATAGATTCCGTGGGAGCACGAATAGGGCAACGTTGTGGAGCCAGGGGGGTTTTCGAAAGCAAAAGTACAAGACGGCGAGAATGAAAATCTTTGAAGCGCGGCCGATATGGTCGTGTGCAATCTGCTGACCAATTACAATTAGGCGAGCCGCGCTCAAACGTCAAGTGCAATTAAGTAGGTTGATAATAAGCCAGCACTGATCAGTGATGAGGAGCTGTTGTGCACGGTATTGTGTAAATCGTCTAAGGACGAAAAAAAGACGTACCTTCCCCCCGTCTTCCGTCGCTAGTGGACGCTGGATTAAGCTCGTTCCTAAACCGCGAGGGGAAAAGACGCTGATCCAGAGGCACGAACAGCTTCACGCACATTGCACTCGCTAGACACATACACACGGCGTCGGTTCTTGGTCGGTATCCAAGCGTGCGAAGGCACAGAGACACGGCACTTCGGCGTGCCAAGGAAGCTTTGAACACGCCGCCAGCCCTTCCTTTCGACGCGTTGTGCCTTTTTCCTGCGACACTGCACTTTCGTAAAATTTTTCACGTGTTCACAACGGCAAGTCTCAACAATACACAGAGTCTTCAAAAAACTTCTTCGGCGAATGACGACGAGCGAGTAGAAAACGTGTCCACAGCACGCTGGAAAACCGCAGCAAAGGCTAGCAAAAACGGCAAATCGTATCCCAAGCGAGTGAAGTCCGGTGGCTTCACTTGCGCTGCAGCGAACAAGCGGGGAAGCGCGATCCAGCAATTGTCATAGAGATCAGTGGTCGGCGCTCCTTCCTTCCTGCTGTCTCTTCCTTCCTTACCTTATTTACGCTATTTAAGTCAACATGTCTAACCAGCTCGCCCAGCAACTCATTTTGGTACCGAGTTTTAAAAATATGAGATGCCTTTTAACGCTACCTCATAATCCCAAAATTTTGGCCGTCCGTCCATTTTCCGCCAAATTTAGCGGGGAAAAGCGTCACACGGCTCGTGACCTATACGTCAACTCAGTTTCCCTGTTAAATTTAGCGGGAAAAATGTACGTCTTGTGACTTTAAAGACACCAATCCAGTTTCACCGCTAAATTTACCAGCTGAGCGGGGGAAATCGACGTCACGTGACACCAATTTTCTCACCAGTAAAAGTCGGTGCCATTTTTTTTTTCGCCTCGTTTAAGTTGTTTACGTGTTGTTTTTACTTCTATTTAAACATATATGCATCAGCGCTTGCGATAATTCTGTTTGTTGAATGATTATTTTGTGAAGGCTTCTTGATATGCAGGTAAGAATATTGGCGCACTCGAATCAAAAAGCGACAAGAACGCGCGATGGCAAGGCAGCCAAGCGAGCGCCGTGATTGGTTCAAATAGGGGGGAACGGGAAACAAAACACAGGAGCAGACGAACGTGCACGCCGTGCAGAGCAGCACGAACCGTGGTTTCGGATTTTCCCCCTACCGTAATCTAACGAACATCGTTGTGTTTAAGGAGGAAAATTTTCGAAAACTTTCACAATTGATACCTGGAAGAATCGAGAATTGCTTTCATCGGCTGCCTGAGATAAATGCGGAAACGAGGCGTTTCGAAGCGTTGTCGTATCGCGCCTTCTCGGACGACTTGTGACGAGATTTCATCCTAATAGTCCTCGAAAGTAGCCTCCCGTTTGCGCCGGGTGTTTGCTCAGAAATACCTGGTCAAGTCAACGCCTCCCAGACGCCCTGTAGTTTTCACCTTGTTTAGGGTGAATGGATGGTTAGTGTAGGGGAATTAAAGGCCCGCGGAGCGTATGGCCTTCGGCAGGATGAACGTGTCTACAAATAATGGGGCTAGTGACGCCGTCTGGCGGAAAGTTTGTCAACTTGACTCTGCGCGTCGTTTGAAGCGCGTCCCCCGCCAAGCGCGGTTCTTTTCGCGTCTAATCTCTCGGTTGGCTCAGATACGATTGAAATTTATAAATTCGGAAGATAAGCATCGTTTTAGTCGACTCGAATTAGCCGTAGTGTATAGTATCGCTTTCGGCCTGCTTTTTTTTTTTTTTTTTTTTTTTTTTTTTTCTCTCTTAGCCGTCTGCGACGTACTTGCCATCACTCACCAGTCTGCCGGTGACCCCAACGACCATGACCGGGGGCTTGCGCAGATTGTGCCACGCTAGCGTACTTTACTGGATAGGACATGTCGAAGGTGACACTGCGAGATCTACGGTCCGACCCTGGTGTCCGCCATCTTGTTGCAGACGCTCCACGTCCCGCTGGGGATGAAGTACAACTGCCCGAGCCAGTCGACCTGGAAGCTGGCCGTCACTTCGCTCCTAGCCGTTCTCCGGGTTGGCTTGCCCATCGCCCACAACAATGGTCAGTTGACGACATTCTGGACAGGTGGCGCAAGCCATAGCCCGATTCAAATGGTGGTTGGCTACATAAACCGTTCATCCAACGCCAATTCGTTTTCTTTTTCGTTGCTTTTTTTTTTTTTTTTTCTTTTCAACACTGTATTGCTTTAAAAAAGTGACCCGCGCTCTGCTGTTTCCCCGCAATGCACCGGTGCGCGGGGAGAAGTGCTCTTCTCAGCCACGTCCGCGCGCGCGTTTAGATGCCGATTTTAATGGACCTTTTCCGAGAAGCGTTCTGCGCACGCGCGAGCGCCCGATGCCAAGTGGCGGAAATCGGTACGAAAAATCGAGGAAATTTGGAAGGAGGCTGTTGATCAGCGAGTAGAGCACGTAATTGCAGCATATATATAATTGTGTTACACTAAAAAAGAAAGTGGACGGAAAGAAAAACACGTCGTTTGCGTCCTGTTTTTCTTTCCCCTCTTTAAAGTCGCGTTGGGCAGGCGCTGCTGCTCAGAGAGCGAAGAAACTGGTAGCGTAGCTCCCATTATTGATTGGTAGCGCAGGTAGGTCACTTCCTCGATTTTTAGTTCGTGCAGCCACCGCCTGGTGCCGTCGGTATGCGGAAAAGGTCCATTGCTGGATGGCGACTCAGCGGGACCCGGACTGTGCCTCTGTACGGGATTCGAAACGTATGCCTTATCCGGTTGTCCGACAGGGCGCCACTACGATATACAAGGAACAAGTAAAAAGCAAATGTTACATTGGCATTTACTGTTGCACCACCACCATAATCATCACATAACACGCTGCCCTTCAGTGCTGGTAAAACGGAGACCTTGCGCCTTCGCCTTGGCAACACCACGGGCCTGTTGAAGCGCTATATGATAGCATGTAGTGTTGGTAGGCGCTGTCCGCTCGAAGCCTACCTCCAGACTTTGCGAAGTTAAAAATTGAAACTACAGGATTCACTTTGCTTTGCGTACGAACGAGAATTGTCATTCGCGTAGTTAACTAAAACGACTGTCATTTTTCACAATTAAGCGGTTGATGACATGGGTAATTTGTCAAGGCAGTCAGTGCACCTCATAAAGGACGCAGAAATTACAGGACCCAGGAACTTTCCAGCGCAGGAGACATGTAGGTATGGCTTAGGCTATGCCTAATGGCGGGTCCAGTTGTGCGACAAATGGCCGAATCTGCGCAAAAACCGTGACGAAAAAAAAAAAAAAAAAAGAAATCTGGTGACGAACTGGTTTTATTTCTTGTTAGACAATCGGTAGTGCTTTTATGGGATATGCGAATTTCGGACGACTTTTGGACACCAGCCGATCCTGAAAGGGCAAGAAATGTCTGAAACCCTAGACAGAATGGATCGGTTGATTAGTATGGCAAGCCTTTGCTCGTCGGATCCGGTACGGAGCTATGTTCTTTTTGCTTTTTTACAAGTTTTTAGGCTATCTATTTTTTTTTAAATTAAATGTATGTTTGACAGGAATGGCAATGTGAAAAGAAAAGAATGGCCTACTCTACTGTGAAAGTGCTTTGTGTTTGGCTTAGTTTGCTCAAAGTACACTCACCTCACGCACACTGTGTGACACTGTTAGCACAAACAGGACATTTGATAATTTTTCGCATTTCACTTTAAAAGGGTGTCAGCAGGCGCACAATTTTACAACTTGTGGTAGTGTCTGAATTAGCACTTTTCACGACACTAATTATTTTCATAACAACCTTTCTATTCTAAAAAAAAAAAAAAAAACGGGCGATTGCATGTTTGCATCTACAGTGTCGCGCAGTGCGCTTTTGCTTTATGGGAAAATTTATGAGTATGTTTACCCAACCCAACGCGGCGAGGTAGAAACTCCGACCGATGTTTCTGCAACTCCATCGTGCTTTCTCCCTTGGTACATTGAAATGCAGAGGTCCACTTCAAGGATGTGTGGGCAGAACTTGCCACAACACTCGAGGAGTTCCTCTTTTCTTCGAGGTGAGTGTGGGGAGGGAAAGCTTGGCGCAAGACGTTCCATGGGACCAGAACACTGAACTATTCCGTTTTCTTTCTTTTTCTTTTTTTTTTTACAAAGCAATCCGCCCCCGACGCAGAGCCTGGAAGACCAGCAGTGCGACGAAATGCTGGACTGCAAGGCAAGTTGCATTCTTGTTTAAAGTGGCGGCAACCTCAATGCCACACGTGACTGGGTACAGACAGGAACAAAGGCGTGAGGTCTTGGAGACAGCTGAATTTGTTCTAGAAAGAGCAGCAGCAAAAATAGTTTCAATTTCCCCACTAAATTTAGTGGGCAAGTTATAACTAGGGTGTGCATTTTCCGGTTTTAACCGGAAAACACCGATAAACATCCATCAGTGACGAAAATATAAAATCGGTTAAAACCGAAAAACACCGGTGGTTGGATATTTTCGCCCTGGTTAAAACCGAAAAGCACCGGTCGTTGCTAACTTCCGACCTGGCAAAACACTTCCCCCGTAGAGGTTCGTCAAGCGTGTTATCTCGTGGATCCTGCATTCTTCCAGTGCTTATACATGGCTTGCAGGTGGCGCCAGTTCGCCCTCCTTTCTGGGGGTCAAAAGCGTCTAGTTAACGCAGTGGAAGCTAAGCTCTCATACGCCTTTCCCCTATTGTGCCTCCCATGGCCCCCTTTTGTGGAAAAATTAACGCAGTGGAGGGTAGGCTCTCACGTGCCTTTTCCTCATTGTGTCTGGCCAAGTGATGTCGGTGCAAGCCATGTTTTCAGAGGTTGCTGTGGTTCCCGGAAGACACTGCCAACGTCCGTGTCGTACAGGAGCGTGCGTTTTCATAATTGCGGGTTGCGAACTGCAAGGAATGTGCTGCCATGACGGCAGCACGTTCCTTGCGTGTAGATGCAAGCATCTACACGCAAGGCACGTTTGCTTGCATATACTATAATGCTTGCATCTACTATAATAACCAAGTGTGAGAAGTAGTTGCTTCCTAGAGAAGAAGTGTATGAACTATGTGAATAAAATTGGAATTCTCTGTCTGTGATCAATCGCTTTTTTTCACCGATAGTCGCCGATTTTAGCCTCGTCGTGAGACGCTCCACCGAAATACACCGGTGTTTTGAAAATAAATAAACACCGAAAAACATCCGCCGATTTTTCTCACAAATAAACACCGGAAAGTACACACCCTAGTTATAACCAGTTGGTTCTTCACTCCCCGGTACGACCGCCTAATGTTTTCTAAAGAAATTGCAATGATTGCTCCTTAAATACAAGGATGTCTCGTTAATAGGGACACCCTTGTTCCTCAAGAAATCGTCCATAACGCGAGTTGCCTATAATAATGAGACAACAATGCATGTGTTTACCTTATAGGACTTTGGAAATAAACGTCGCTGTCAATCTTTTTCCCTCCAAATTGGTAGGCAAATTTGTGTAAGACGGTTGGGGGGACGCTTCAAAGTTTTGCCGAACTTGGGGACATTGCCAGAGCAGATGCCACGCTGTTTCTCTACCCCGAGATTGCCCCCTCAGCGCGTTCGGCCGGCCGCTCTCACAGGTGGTCCAGCTGATTCGGGAGTGCATCCTGCCGGAGTCCAGCCACGTGCCCAAGGACTTTGTGCTGAAGATCGTGGCCCTGCTGAACAAGGGCTCCATCCACTCAGCCACAAGCAGCACGCCCGTCGGTGAGGACGCTGCTCTCGGTGCTGCTAGCATTCCCGTTCTTCCCTCCCGGCCAAATCTTCAGATTTCTAAAAGCAAGACGGTTTTATGAACCTGAAAGAGGTGAAGTGTGGGAGGAGAAAGAAGGATTGGAGAATGGAGAGGGGGGAGATCTATGAAGAGCTTTCAAGCTGCATGGAAAAAGGGAAGAGAGAGCACCCCTGTATTTTTATGTCTTTTAGGTTAGCTAGGACACGAAACAAAGAAAACCAGTGCACATTCTGTGTTCTCCGTGTGTCTGAGTTACGTTGCGAGTGTGGACCTCTTCCGAAATTCAGTGCCATCTATTGTGGCTCAAATACAAGTCTAGCTTCCGTCGTGCGAATGGCAGTAGGGGTATAGTATTCGATCAGTGTTGTCACTCTCGTTCATTGAAAACGGACGACAGTGTTGTTCTCTGCTGTTCAGTTTTTTATCCATTCATTTTCGTCTTGACGGTGACATAGAGAGCAAGTACTGCTTTGTACAAAGCACCGACTTAAGTAAAGCTCCAGAAAAAATTCACTGCATTAAGTCTGTCAGCTCATTCATTGGGCACAAGTCTCGCGCGAATGCTGACGTGGCACACCGTGCACCTCGTCGAACTAACGTCTGGAACGCCCAGAATTTCTGTCATCCGCTTCGGCGCAGGTCTTCAACTCCTTCTTTCCCCAGCCACCGGAAGGCTGCCATTGGCACGCGACAGACGCCGTACGCACATATGACGCCGGCAGTCGATGTGGCACGACTGAATTTCGGAAATGGTCCATCGTTCGGCCCGAGCGCAGAGACTGTTTAACCGCAGGGCGTGCTTCGAATGTCGCAGACACGGAGTCGACGCGCAAGTTGCGGGAGGAGTTTGCCAAGGCCTGCTTCGAGACCCTGCTCCAGTTCTCCTTTTTGGGGGGCATCGTCCTGCCCGAAGGGGGCGTGGTCAACCGGCTGGCCGTCACCTCCCTCCTGCACCGCTTCCAGGAGGTGGGTGGAGCCGCCACGACGGGTGGTTGTCAGCAGCGGCGCCTCTCCTGGCGTCCGGGGAAGTGCGAAACTGCGCGCAAAATTAATGGGTTATACGGTTTAAAGAGGAACAAAAGGTTGGGGCAAACATTTTAAGGAGGGTCGGAAAGTTTTCTAGGCTAAGTGGTGCAACCTACTGCCACATATAAAGGAAAAAGGCCACTAGCCTCCATCCATCCAAGCGCAGTCCTCCGTGTGTAGCAGTCAGTGTTCACGACAGCTAATGTCTTCGAGCCCGAGACGGAGATACGAATCGCGGGGTAAGAACACGAGACCAACAAGTCTGGTGTTTACCTCCAATTGTTGTGAGCATTATAATTATTATTAATAATGATAATAATAATAATCGTGATGTTTATTTGAGGAAGCCACAATTTTCGCATACCGTAGTATCGAGAGATGCCCCACCCCCTGAAAGATGACCCAAATAATAATAATATTAATAATAAGAAGAAGAAGAAGAATGATGTTTATTCGAGAAAGCCACTATTTTCGCATACCGTAGTACCGAGGGATGCCCCACCCCTATTTTTGGGTTGATTTACTATTTTCTTTTAAACACTAAAAGAAAGTCCATTCCTAGTAATCGTAGTGTTCGGATCAATGATGACCGCGGCGTAAATGCGGCTAGTTAGCTATGGCGAGATATAAGCGAACTGACTGGGAGGTACAGTCATCTTTGCTTCATTGTCCTTGCCGTGATAACAAGTTTGGCAGGAAAACATTACCTAAAATAAGCGATTTTTTAACTTTTCTTGATCGTGCACCGATATTTAGCCCGCCCCTTATTTCCACCCTATTTGCTCTCGATTTTAGGTGGGCTATCTCCCTGGGTATCACTGTATGCATAGTCATCATAACCCCAGTTCTTCTGGCGTACAGCTGCTGTCTTTAGCTGCGGTCAGGGTTATTTGCTGGGAGGGGAAAGCCAGTGTATTGTCTTGGCAGTTGTCAGAACGTTGTCAGAGTTGGGCAGACTTCCAAAGATCGTTTGGGATGTGCCCCCTTTGGCGCGCATTTGAAAGACCCCGCACCACTTTTTAGCTTTTTGGCATACTGGTGGGTCGTGGCATCTCGACAGTCTCGCGCATACCGACGAAGATTTCAAATACGAACGTTGCTTAGACCAAAGTAGTCGCCATTCTCTTTTGCACATCATTGTCTTCGTCGGCGATTCCAGACATTGCTCCTTCAGATTTATTCCGGGAGTTTCGGTTGCACGGTACAGGGAAAGAAACACAAAAACGTAGGTAGATGGCAGGGGTTTGTTCCAGCGACTCCTCTCGCTTGTCAGACCGTCGTCCCGAGGTTTCATTTTTCACTCGTTTCTCAGGTGATCTGCCACTATGTGGAGGACGAGCAGCTGAGCGGCAAGTGTCCCCTGCCGCGGCATCGCATGGCGGAGATCTCGTTCGTTCTCAAGGCCGTGGCCACCCTGACGGCGTCCCTCAAGAAGGCACCGCCCGACAACGGTAGAGAGTTTTTTCCAGTCTGGATTGCATCTTCAACCGGTCTGTTTATAGCATCCCCAAAATTGGTGCCCCAATTTTTGCGTTGACGTCGTTGTAGAGCCTCGCTCTGTTGCTTGCCGCGAACCTTACATTGGCAAGGCGGCGGCGTTGGAAGGCAGGCTTGCAGGTCCAGCAGTCAGTCTAAAAATTGACTATGCTGAGCATTTGTTTTGTGCTACAGCACAGGTGTCGGAGCCAGTTTTCAAGGTGTTCATTTGACACCATGAAACTGCTTGTAATCAGTTGGGAACAAAGCCTCCAGTCCAAACAGCGAACTTCTGCCTCCACTGACATCACTTTTTCATTGTTGCCAGTGGAGACTTTTATTTTGCAAAACATGTCGAGTACTAAAATTATAAATTCAAAAACTTTGCGAAAAAAAAAAATAATTTGGCCCAAGATAAGGGGGACTACTTCAGCAATGTTTGTTGGTGTGTTTAGCAAATTGTCAGGCAAATCAGGGACTATGAAGAAAACGCTGGAGTAACCCTTTAAGCTGTCGCTGATGTCAGAATAGGGACAGGCAATTTGTCCATCTCTTTGGCCGCCTTGGGAAAGTTTGGCGGCTCTAGCGGGTGCTTTGGCACATCTTTTCCCGCCCGCAGTGGAGTGGAGTGTATGGGAGCAGCTGATCGCCCTGTACCCCCACCTGGTGAGCTGCAGCACGTCGACGTCCGCCCAAGTGTGCCGGTCGCTGCGGGAGGCCCTGCACGAGTATGCGGACCTCCTGGCTCCTCCGAGGACGCCGCCCCGGCAGCGCAACGGCGGCCGACCGGCTGCCAACTGAGGGCAGACGCAAACCTCGCTCGTCGTCCGCCGGCGTAACTGGCGTGGACACTTTAGAAGAAAAGAAGGGCCGCCTCTCGAAAACCGTTGCCCGTCTGCAAGGGCGAGTCGTTTCAGCGGCTCACCGCAACAACGTCAAAGAAGATGTCACTGAAAGACGGCTGCGGTGCCGGAGACATGTCGTCGAGGTAGCATAGTTAGTTAATTGACGAGGTTAAAATTTTGAATGAAACGGAGCAACAGCTGGCGAACGGAAGACGGCGTCCGGTTTTCCTGCTGGCGCGTCGATGCAACGGTGATCTAAATTTGCCGACGCAGTTTAGTCCACCATGTTGTGTTTATATGCCGATTAATGGGGGCCGAGTGTAGCTTCGGCTGATTTCTCCTTTGTATTGTCGAAATGGCCCTCGGAGCGTGTAGACTACGGCCTCTCGGGATTGTTTTCAACGAGGCGGTGGATTGACGTCGTGTAAATACTACCTCCCCTAAGTTGGTCCGAGTGCTGTCTGCTTTTTCATTTCCTAAAGCAGACGACGCGGCGCGGCTGCTTTCCTTAGCAGAGGACAAATGATGCCCGCTTTCCTTTGCGAATTGGCCAACATTGTCTTGTGCCTGGTTGATGAAAGTAAAAGTGGAACAAATTTTTGGCATGTCTGACATGTTTCCTCCAAGTTCTGTTCTTCTGTTACTTTCTGCCCCAAATGTCTGCAGTGTTTTTTCTAAACCAGATGACACGTTTTCTGCAAGATGAATGTTGTAAAACATCTGCCTTTTTTTTTAAAAGCAGACATGAACTTGTGGTTAGTTTGCTGAAAAAGCAGAAAACACGTTTTCTTCTAGCTTTTTCCTAACACTTACTTTCAGTCACAACGTTGGGTCGAAACCCCAAACCTTGCGACACATGACAAAACACAAATTAAGGTAAACAATAAACAGCTACCGTGACAACGACGACAGTGACATTGGGTACGGACTGTACTGGCTTTGCAAGCTATGCTAGAGCCTTTCGTTTAATTTCGTATTTGTATTTTCTTCTTGCTTCAAATGTTCACGGAGAAATGCGTAGCGTCTGAGATACAAAGTCCACGGCTGGTGACTTTCGGTGAATTAACCAGAGTTCAGCGCAGCGATGTTTGCAACAGAGAAGTTGTTTTGAAACCACTCCAATAACGGCACTTTTGTTTTTTTGTCACCTAATAATCATGCCAGCATTTTTTTTTTGTCTAATTGTGCGCAGTATCTTGTTAATACTGTGTGCTGAAGGGCTTTCATGCGCAGTTGGAGACGTGCCGCGGAAACCGATGTAGTTCCTGCACGCTCCGCGTCTCAGTTTTATCTCGTGGACATCGGTTTTTCTTTCGCTTGAAGAATCTCTTTGACGTCGACTTTCGCTTTGCGCCGAGAGAAGCGAATGAACTGATTTTTTGTACAACGGCGGTCTGGGAGGCCGAGCACCAACATCCCGAAGATTTCTCGACCCTGATATAAATATGTGCCGCTACTTCCTCTTGTGGTGGCATTACCTATTTACACAGGTTGTTTTTTGTTCTTTTTTTTCCCCCGTTGCCTTCTTGTTTTTACGTAGCATTCCTTTTCACAATTCCTGCCTTTGATCCTTTTGACGGTGGTGGAATGCACAGGTTATCCATCCATTCTAGTGGCACTGCATACTAGTACTGCAACCTCCTAAAGCCGAGAAGCAAAAAAAAAAGTTCCTGGCAATTTTTTTGAAGACGCCGGTGCAACTTTTGTACATATAAGACTGGATCGCTGAGGGTACCACATGTTTCAAAAGTTTGTTTGGGGCAAGTTTGCAGAAGAGGTGTTTTACAAGACGGCAAAGTCGTCACGGCAAAAGGTTACGATGTAGTAGAATATTTGCCTGTAGTTGTATTTTTTGTTGTTTCTCGATGCTTGCTGATGTAGGCGGTGCAATACTACATTTCGGGCAGTTCCATTACGATCACTCGATAGACCCTTTTCAAAAGTCCGTCGAACAACGTCTTTGGTCGCCATTTCTCGGGCCCAAGGCGTGCGATAGTTTCTGAATCTTCCTCGCCAAACGCCGACGCAGCACTTGTTTTCGACACGAACCCAAGCCGGGTTCATGCCGAATGCCGACACAATCCTCGGGTCCGGTATAGGCGTCTGCAAGTACAACCTCTGGGCGCCGCCATCTTGCTGCGGTTGTGAATAGATAGTCTGATAGTCAAGCATTGCTGAGGCTGAGGTACATATGTAAATCTATATCTACCCACACCAGCAGCAAGATGGCAGAGCCCAGAGGTTGTACTTGCAGACGCCTATATATGACGAGAATGTGTGCCCAAATGATGGCAGACACGAATAACGGGCGCGGCAGCTAGTAGGTGGTGCTCACTTTTGGAAAGGGTCTACAAAGAAAGCAGCATTATGTTTCGGGAAAGATGAACGAAAAATAACTTTGTTTTTATTTTCAACGTCTTGACCGTATGATTCTAGGAGAGACATTGTGCCTAGGAACCAATTTTAGGGGAATTGATGCAAGAATTTATGTTCAGTAGCGGGGGATGTAAATATATATCATTTTGGCGATTACACACTGCTGCCCGTAAGATTGGGCAAGTGTTTCGATGGCGAAAATAGTGGGTCTGTCTGCCACAAGAACAAACAGCAAATCCGTTCCCACTTTAGCAGACGGCCATAGGCGGTGACGATCAGAGTTTCTTTGGATGGGGGGGGAGTGGGAGGATTTTTTGGGGTGTTTGTTTGCCCTGGAATTCTTTGTTGGCTTACGAAGCCTGACGTTTTTGGTGCTTGAGCACTTGTCAATATCCCTTCCTTTTTTTTTTGCCAGATTTTAGGGAAATTTAGTTACGCTAAAATTGCACCGGTTTGGGCGTCATGTAAATAAATAGACAAAGCTGCGAGGGCGAGGTTGCATTTCGCTGTGTTTGCAGCCCAAATTATGTACAAAGGGAATAAACGCATTTGATTTTCGAAATCTAGTGTCCTTTTTGTGTGGGGCGAGGGGGTGGATGTTTTGTTATGGAACCATTAGGGGTGCAAACAAGGGGCACAAACCCTTTGTGGTGGCTCGTTGTTTGGCTAGGTAGCTGGCGTCGTAGTAAATGTAATGAAACGACATTTGTTATATAAATCTAAATGCGCGTCAGTTGTGTATAAAAAGCGAGAATTAGTGGCAAGTTGGGCTAACGTACAATAGGCCTGCAAAATCAAAGCGATCCTAGCAGCGTAGTGCCGTGCAAAGTACCTTGTTTTACCTCCTGGCCACAGCTTCGGTTTCGTTTTACCAATCTCGCTTCAGGACATTCCGTTGCAACCAAATGCAGTGCTTGCATTTTCGAATATGGGACTTTGCTTAAATTTATAATGCTGTAAACGTTGCGTGCCGATACGGATAAAATGCTGGGGCACATTTTATGGGTTCCCTAAGTGTCAGAGTTTGTGTGTATTTAAAGGGGTCATGAAACGATTTTTCAACTTTTTCCTTTTTAGCTTTTGCCCTCAACTCACAAATCGTGCATTGTACCAAACAGTTCAAGAAGACGGAAAGGAGGGACTCTTTCTTGCTCGAACCCTCGTTTGTGTACCTGGACGCCACCATTCTCCCAGAAGGTTAGCCCGCCGCTCAAAACGCAAACAAAAGTTGCTTTCCTTACCCTGTTCACCCATAAGCTGAGAGTGCTGTGGAAGCTATGTGCTTGTTGGGTCAACCACACTTTTGCCACGTGATCACGCTCCTTCACGCATACCCACCTGCTGAGAACGATGTCGGATGACGAAAGGGAGACTGCTGATTGGTCCGGCAAACGCATAGCTTTTACCGCACTTTCAGCGTAGGAGTGAAGGGAATAAGTGAGGTCCGGTGTCATGTGACGTGCGTTTGCACTTTGGGTATCGCTGATCTATCGCAGTGAAAAGGCAGAGATTTTTCGAAGGGAGGGAGGTGCCAAATGGTCTGCTGTATTTCAAATTCTTGTGCCAAAAATCAGGCTTTTGGCTTTCTACCTTCTCTCTCTTGGCCCACTCGGTGCGTGACTTGGGCGGTAAAATGGCGTCTATGCATTAGCCAAAGCTACGCGTTCGAGCTGAGTGACACCAGATTGCGCGCGCTTCAAAATGCATAAAAAAAAAAAAAAAAAAAAAAAAAAAAAACGATTGGGCGGAAAAATGGCTGAGATGGTACCACTCGAGCAAAAGTGCGCGTGTGTATGAAGGCACTCTACAACCAGATGCCAAAGTTTCAGCCCGATCCGATACCTTATTCAAAAGTTGTAAGTGATTTTTTGAAAATTTCAATGGGAATGAAGCACAGTTTTGCTCGTTTTCGGTTTCTGGTACCATAGAGCCTCATGTATTCGCAAACTCCGTAGGCCGCCATTTTCTCATTGAAAGTTTCAAAAAAATCACATAACTTTTGAATAAGGTATCAGATCGGGCTGAAACTTTGGCATCTGGTTGTGACCTCTAGCGCTAGCTTTGTGCAGAGAATGAGTGTTCGGCGATGCCTGGTTTATTTTTGCAATAAAAAAAGATGTGCAATTTTTTTTTTTTTTTTTTTTTTGTGACACCTTGTATTTGGTGGTTGAATTTCGAGCTTCAAATTATGTTCTCGGTAGTTGGGCCAGTTGGGCTCTCATATTTGATGTACAAATAAAAACCTTGGCGATCATAAATACCCTACGAGAGCATCAAAAGCCGATGTTCATGCAAGAAAGTGCTTTGGGTGCGCACTGAACTTTGACAGCACCAAGGTCCTGCGGTTGGGAACGCATCATTAGCGATTCGGACGTAAAATCATTGAAACAGTCTTCACTGACAAAGGAAAAAAGAACGTCTCATCTGCATCGTTAACCCTGACAAAACGTGAAATAGAGAAAAATCAAACATGGGCAGTCACGGAACGTAGGTGCGCGTAGTGTGTGTGACTCAATCCTCATCGGCGCTCACGGTTGTAACCTTCTCTCCTTTATCTCTCCCCCGTTCTAGTGAACGCGTGAATTTTTCGCGCCCGGAAATTAACATTCGTCGTTGCTAAATCAAGGATTGTGGTCTGTGAAAGCCTGTGGTGAAAGTCCTCCGTGTTTTTCGATGTAAGCCCTGCGGCGTTGCCCTGCGGATACAAATAAATCTGCAAAAATTTTATACTTTATAAACGTTTATTAATCACAAAAAAGTAACTTGTTTTCTAAAAAAAAAAGTTAGTGTTGTTTAGCTCCTTATTTAATAGCCACACAACAAAACCGGAGTGTGGTGAGAAAAGGCAAAAGTAAAAGAAAATGGCGGAAAGCGCGTCTGCTTTTGAAAGTGCGCTACCGTAGTGTGTGTGTGTGTGATGCTTTCCTGCTTTCGCCGCGTCTCTCCACGAAATCGCAAGCTCTCGATGAAACTTTGCTTGCTGTAATCTGATATTTCGCCTCACACCGCTTGCAGACTGACCTCTTTGGTCTCTAAAACGCCCTAAAACTGAGGGCTGATGCAACATGGAATGCGGACAAACTTTACTAAAGTCCCTCGATCCCGTGAGCACGGAAATAACGTTGATCCGACTGCTCGATGAACTCCAAAGCCGTCGCTCGAGCGTTTCTGCGAACCGGTCTTGCGTCGAAGAACTTACCACCCAGGCCGCCAAGCTGCGCGAACTTCTATACTTCGAAAAACAGCGGGCCAAGGACGCCGAAGAACGCGCCGCGGGCGAGGGCGTCGGCATCAAACTGAGCCGCGAAACCCACCTACGGCCGCTACTCCTGCGGAAAACGGACCTCGGAAGCCGTCGCGCAAAGTTGGAACAGAGACTGGCGGCGCTGGAGGATCGCGTTCGCGAACTGGAGAACCAGCAAATGAAGCTTCAAAGCAAGGCCAGAGATCTGCGAGACCAGGCAGAGCGGTTGTCCAACTTGGAATCGACTCATGCATCCCTCATACGTGATCTTCAGGAGGCTGGTCGCGCGACACTGAGCGACTTCCTCAGGGCAACCAAGCGACAGCACAAAGTGGAAACCGAGGCAGTCGAGACGCTGCGAAAGCACGCTGCCCTGGTTAGAGAGAGCGAAGCGCGCGTTGTTCGAATTCAGTACTTGCTTTCAGAGAACTTGCTACTGAAGGAGAGTCTGAGAACTGCACAGACCCAACTGACCTGTTTAGAAGTTCACGACAACAGACACCAAGACTCCGAGCCACAAATTAGCTTTTGCAAAGGTGTTGTTGAAACACTTCAAGAAGATTTGGCATCTTGTCGTTGCGATTTTGAAGAGCTGCAGAGCGCTCTCAAGCAAACGGATGTCAGCGACATTGGGATACAGACAACTACCGTCCAGGGCATCTGAAGAGTCGATAAAGACATATTCAGCAGATTGTTTCTTCAATGTTTGCATTCAACAGATATAAATACAGGCAAATGTATCCAAGCAGCAGAATTCCTGTGCAGGACATCAGCGTGTGTTCAGAATGCTCAAGACCCATGACAAAAAACATTGAACTGTTCATAAACGTGCATATTTTATAAATGCCTTTGTAGCAGAAAATGTCTCGTCTATTTTTACTTTTGGCAGAAGATAGAACGTGCTGCTCTGGGGGGCTATGTTCGACAAATGTTTCGTTTCTCCTAAAGAGAAACGGAAGTGACGATATTGCGTCCGATTGGTTAGAGGCTCAAGTGATGAAAGTGTCCTCTTTCGTCATTCCAGCTTCTAACCAATCAGACCCAAAATCGTCACTTCCGTTTATTTTTAGGGGAAACGAAGCATTTGTCGAACATAGCCCTCCAGGTCTCCTTTACCAACAGGAAAATGCATGCCTGCACTGCACCTTTGACACAAAATAAAGAAAGCTTTCTCTCTTCATATTTCTTCCAGATTTATTGCTTGGAAACAAGGTTAGACATATTCGGACAGCAAGTCGTCTGCTTCATGCGCAGGGGTGGCGGTGACGTCAGGACGGCACAGAGTTCTGATTGGCTTCGGAATGATAGTAGGTAGACCTCAATATTACAGGTCTTGAGGTCTACTCACTTTTGTCTCAAGCAGCCAATAAGAGTTTGGCGTTCTGACATCATTGCAGCCCCTCTGCAAGAAGCAGACAAACTTGCACTTTGCATTGATTAGCAGGCATTTTACCACTTTTAATTGTTCATCATATTTTACTGCTTTGCATTGTTCACACTTAAGGTTAGGACAAAACCGAACCACTGCAGATGGAAAGGCCAATCCCGAACAGATTGCACTCCTTTTCAAATAAAACGCTTTAATTTTTACATCAACCGCATCGAGGTGAGGCTCTTCCTGACGTTAGCCATGGCCTTTTCCTGCCTCAACTCTTCGGCCTTAAAAGCCAGGCTGTTGGCCTTCTTCTCCTGTCTCCTCTCTTTGCGGAGCGCGCGCACTTGGGCCTTGCGTAGACGCCGCTCCTCCGGCGTTTCGTTCTTCGGGCGGATGCTGGACGCCACAGACGTCCGAGACCGAGTCTCGTCTCTGTCGTCGTTATCTCCTCCGAGCTCTTGCTCGAGCCGCTTGAGTCCTTGCCGGCTCAGGCCTCCCTTGTCCTTTACCGGAAGTCCAGTCCTTGATGACAGCTGCACCTTGTCCTGTAAACGGAAGTGAGGCAAGGTTCACTGCGGGTTTCGGAAAAGTTGAGGCAACGTCTCGCACGTCAGGACAGTTCTGGTGCTTGCAACACAGCTACTAGTACGGGATCTCAAGAGCTAGCTTTGGTACCCGTAACTAGCTCTGACTGGTGGCAACTGTTAACATACGTTTGCTCTACTGACAGTTAGCTCCTGGTTAGCTCAGTTGGTACGGCGCTCCGCTAGTCATAAAGAAGTCCAGGATCAATTCTCGGACCAGACAGATTTTTCTTTCAGCGGCTACCGGTCACCTAGAGGGCAGGAGTTGCGCTCCACTTCAAGTGGAATACAATTTACTTCTGCGTAAATATGTAAAAAGAAGTAAAAAGATTTGTATGCATTTCGTAAGCTTGAGCATGTTCAGTTCTCTTCTAAATCGCGAGCTCGGCCAGGACGATCGCATTAAAGAGCCACAGCGACTACTTGTGATGGCACTTCGACGACCCGTGAGCCAGGGACGAGGAATGGCACCGAATCAGCCCAAGGCCTTCGCAGAAATTGCATAATGGTACCTTAAACCGGAGCATTCGCCAAAAAGCACGGCAAGTCTAGCGTCATGCTCACCTTTTTGGGCTCCTTGATCAGCTTGGGGTGGTTGTACAGATTGGAGTATGTGCCTGCGGAGAGGACACAAACACAAGCTCTGTCAGGGGCTAGGTCGGACTCAGAAAACCACCTTACTCCGTTTCACGATAACTTGGCGAACTGTGGTCCACTCAACCCAATAAGAGTGTCGGAGCAAGGCACGTGACAACACTCCATGGTCAAGGCCACAGAGCCCTCCTTACCACCGCAGCAACAGCGCCGTCCGCGTGTCATTCGGTGAAACGTGGGCGTTCGCTAAAACGTCATTCGATCAAGTGAGTGCCTCCCCTTTTGAGTGATGCTTGAACCGTCGCAGCCGTGTAATCCACCGCTTCCTCTAAAATAACTGCCCTGACATTAGCACCTGCCACAGATTCGCGGGTGAATTGAGCATATGGCTGCTTCATGAACTGTTCCCAAAGAGCTCGCTACTCTAGTGGACGGCAATGTTGCGGCCGTGGACGTTCATTCGAAGTTGGTTGGTTTCACAGCAGACGACTCTCGACCAGCAGACGACAGCAGGCTCCTTCGGGCCTCGCATTTGCGCAGTGACGTGGTGTCACGCGCCTCGCTCCGACGCTCTCATTGGGTTGCGGGGCTGTATGTAGCCTCCAGTTTGCCAAGTTATTGTTCAACAAAGTATTGAATGATCAAAGCCTTTGAACAGCCTCCCCAACCTCCACGTAATATCATCTCGGCATAGGGTCAATTCGGCAATTGGTTCCCTACGTCGAGCGTCCTTCGACGCACAGACCGGACACGACGCCGAACGCCGACGCATCGCTCACGCCCAATCTGCACCCGATACGACGTCGGAATGTCAGTGCACAAACTTTGATTATTCTAGGTGTTCTTGGTAGGGCCCTCCAACTCACTGATGATGGACTCGCAGTCCCAGCGCTCCTTGCCCGGGTCGCACTCCAGCCTCACGTCCACGAGCTCGTCCTCCTCCGCTATGGACTCCATCGCCAGGGGCGCCATGTTTGCCCTCTCCTGCATCATCACCTCCTTCAGGGTGCTAAGGGATGAGACGTACCAAAAGCCGACGTTAGCGAGTCTCCGATGTTGCGCTGCCAGTCCTGTCAACGATAGAGGACTGTCAACGCCGATCGCACATGGTCTATGATTATGGTCACTGATGATGTGAGAACAGCACGGCTGCGAGTACCGGTTCCCATATGTCGAGCGCTAGAAATGGCATGAGCCATATAGTGATCTCATCTCGCCGATTAATTTTCGCTCGAAAAGTAGCTCTGCTCTTTTAAGGTATTCCCATAGTTTTTACTTATCTGTGTTCATTTGCCCTTCGTTTCGCTTTATTTATTTTTTTGCTTCCCAGCTTTTTGTAATGTAGAATAATTTCGCCACTAGGCTGCAAGCATGAGCTCTTCATTGAAGGATGCGTCTAAACTGCGCAAACTCTCGATCAGTAAGAGCAACTACCAATGATAAAGCTACAAGCTCGGGATTCTCGCCTTAAAAAGATATCACCATTAAAAGACAGGTATTTGCTCCAGGAGTCGTAATAAAAATTGTTAGGTAAGCAAGAGCTATCAAATTAATGCCGATTATCTTTTAAAGGCACGTTGAGCTTGGCTAATTCCCGAGTGAATTGAGCGACAGAAACGACAGAGTACTTGCTCTCCTGTTCTATTAAAAATGCCACAAAGTTGGCAGGCCGGCGTCGTTTTATTTCCTATCACATCAGGTCAGGGCTCAAAGTAGTCATAAAAAAATCAAATCTAAACATGTCACGTGAGTTTCCAAAAAGCGTAGAGCACGAGTTCTCTTTAAAATATATTGAGCCTCCCTCCCCACAATTTTACGTTGGCTCTCAACCTTTCCGGTGTGGGCTAACTGGCTCCCATACTCAAACGAGTTTGCGACCACTGCTTTAGAGGCTGACTTGCAAGTTTTACTCGCATCGCTCCCCGTTCGTCCGCCCCCCAGCCGGGACTTTCCGCCGAGCCTCCCTGCATGTCACTTTCGAGGGCTCTCTTCCCTTCCTCATCAGCAAAAACACAAAAAGAGAAAGATGCCCAGCCTTGTCGGAGAGGGTGCTGCGGATCGATATTTAACGGTACACCTGCAACCAAAACGACCACCCAACGTATACGACCATACCGCATAGCGAGCAACCAAACAGTGGAATTCCATGCCCACTGTCGACTACAGGCAATGATAGGACCTGGCACCTGAATTACTTGTCTCAAATGAACACGAGGTAAAGTTACCCGTACTTCTTTATATTTTCGTTTTTGTCAGACCAGTTTCATGGTTTCTGATGCGAGGTTTTGCATGAAAAAAGTCAGTACTTCTATTTTAGAGCGCAGCTCCTAGGCGCCCGTTTCCGGCTTGAGCGGCGTCACCGTCGGTGTAACTGCGCGGTGCATTATAAGAAATGTCCCATAATGCACTGCATGGGGGGGAGGAGGAGGGGGAGGAAAACGAAAGAGAGGGGAGGAGGAGAACGAGGGAGAGGAGAGGAGGGGGAGGAAGAGGAGAGGAGGGGTTGTCCCCCCCCTCCTTCAGTACCCTTCCCTCCTTCACCTCAAGAGCTGCACTCCAACTTGGCATTACAGGGTGTTGTAGCGTTTTTCATTTTTTCCAAAAGGTATTTGTTCTTGTCATTATTGCAACGTTTTGCGAGCCACCACCACCCATTTGATGACGAGGATGATGACGATACTACTGCTACTGCTAATATTTATTGGCTCAGGAGAGCCACGACACCGCAGAAAGGCAAGAGCTTGTACAGAGGCCTACGGTGCCGCATCTACAGTTGGTGACAGATAAAGAGTTCGGGGAAAGCTCCTCCCATCTCTTTCCACTTCAGCGGAGCAAACGCTGGACAGGAGATGCTATTGGACGAAGAGAAGAGCCGACTTGGCACCGTTTTGGTCACCCTCTCTTTTCCCCCCAATAGCGTCTCTTGGCCTTGGTCATCAATGGGGGTGTGTCCCTCCGCACTTCTGGCTTCACCTCCGGTGTCATGTCACCTCCAGAAGCTTCCTACCTCCATGATTCAAGGTCTCCTTGCACAAAAGGGCAAGCACTCACGGGAGCCGCGTCTTCCGCTGGTATTCCTCCACGATCTGCTTCATGATCTCGCTGTCCGGCTGAAGGCAGCCCTCAATCTCCTCGCCGTCTAGGGCCCCGAGTTCGAGGTCGTCGTACTGCTCAAACAACTGCAGACAGCACACTTGTGTAAATTACTTTAGAAATGCAATTTATATAGAATTACGACTACTTCGCTCTAAAGTAGTTAATTACAACTATAATTACTAGCGCACAAAAAGAAAGAAATTAGAATTGTGAATCACTGCAGAAAACTAATACAATTACTTTACTTTGAGAGCTACCCAATATTGAAACTGTTAATGTGATGGTGTTTTTGAGCACTGACATGTATCTGTCCATTTCTCTTTTTTTGCGGTTGACTATTCAGTAAATTAAATTTCATATTCATCCAATCTTGTGCCTGTTTCACCTACTTTATTACTCGTTTGAGAGGGATCTCCAAGTATGATACGAGTCAGTTGTTCAATTATTTTGCAACACTACCAAGATCACTGGTGTTCTTTTTATCTTGGCGGTTGTAAATACAATCTATTCATGCTAATAGGCACTAAAAGAATCTAATGAAGGCTCAATTCTTAATCATTCTGAAAATCCTATCATGATATGAGTCATGACAAGATATTCAATGAACAGATTCCAATCTATCATTCTGATTTTTTTTCTCTCCAGTATAACAACAAAAAACAGCTTTATGTGATGATCTATGCCCTCAATCGGTGCTGTGGCGTTGACAATTGCTCAGCTGTGTGTCAATGGTCAGTGCCCCGGCGCGACCTTGGCACTCTCAAAGCACCATAAGTTGACAAAAAGCGGATGAGGCAGGCGTTTGATGTATTTTCACATGTCGGCGATTCTCTAGAGTGAAGCTGCGGCATGACAAAATTCAAAAAGTTGTTGTAATTGTAACTCAAGTCTCGCAATTACTGTGGCATAAAAAGCAGTTAAATTACAACTACAATTACTCTCCAACGAAAGTAATTTATTACATTAAGAATTATCCAGGAAAAGAAATAAAATTTACTGTAACTGAATTACTGCTCAAGTATGGCAAACGGGAGTATCGCCACATTATGACTATATGCGACTGCATCCCCGCAAGTGCAACAAAGTCCTCCCTCCTTCGGTCACGTTATGAGACACTAGAGGGGCTTTCATAGTCGCAGTCCAGTAGTCAAGGATGCGTGTAAAAGACGACTCGTGTTTCCGCGGCGTAGCAAGGACTTGGCACTATTCCGCCGTCGCAGCGAAGCACAAAACGCGGAAAAAGATGACGCGCGACCAACACGATCGTGAGCGGACCTGTTCGAAGCGCTCATCCAGCGTCTTGAGGCCCTCGGTCCTCCGGATGACCGACGAAGACATGGAGTAGTTGGTGAACCTCGAGCGGACCTCTTCCTCCGCAAAGGAGAAGCCACCCTCGCTTCCGTCGTCGCTTCCCACCTCTTCCTCGTCGTCCGTGACGTAGTCGTCGGAGTTGTCGTCTTCCATGGCACCTTCGTCGATCCTGCGTGAGCGCCCAACGGTGGATTTCTTGAGCATTTGAGGAAAGAAATCTGGGAGTCTTCAATGACGCGGGGTTTCCCATATCAAAACAGTAATTTCACATCTCGCATGAAAGCATGTGCAATTGTGACTGAAACGCAGAAACACGTCGATTCGAGGCAACTTTGAATGTGCAGTCGTGCGGTTCTCTCGTTTTGGTCGGACTTTGTTTGGAAAGAGTGTGCCGGACTTTGCACAATAAAGAGTGTCTATTCTCTCTCAACAAACGTGTACCCTGAGGCAAAAAAAACAACATTTGGGTGGTATCCTGACAATATAACATAGCGGTTTGTGTGAAAATCATTATTATTAGTTTGGGCTGTTAGTTTTACTTGAACCCCGATCGGAAACTAGTCTCGAATGCTGACAGCGATCACAGTGCTAACCCTGAATGTGTCGGTTCCGAATGACTGGTGGTATGCCTTGTTGGTACCTGGCATCAAATGGAGGCAACAATGTGTGCCCCAGTGCTGACACATAATAGCTTTGTGGGATTTGCCTGCACATCCTGCACCGGTGCAGAAAAGTGTAAGGCAGTGAACTTCCAGTATGTGTATTGAGATACGACCGGAAGTGCACCGCCCTACACTTTTCTGCACCGGTGCAGATGATGCAGGCAAATCGAATGAAGCTATCGTAAGGTTCTGAGAGAACGCCCACCCCCGAGAGATCGCCCATCCCATTTTTTGGGCTGCACACCTGTAACTTAAAAATTCAGAAAAATCGCCCACCCCACAATTCCTACTGAATATTGATCACGCTATATCCGAAGGGAATGGGATTAATCACGCTATCTGCGGTATCGGTGTGTGTGACAAGCGTGTTCGCCGTGGGTTCTCCCGCGATTATCGCACCACGACACATGAATCTGCTGCGTCCGCAATCTGCAGTATCTGTTCCCGTGACATGCATGTTTGTAGTCGGTTCCTACGCTTTTGTCCGCAATCTGCACGCTCAGTATCGGTTACCATGACACGAGAGTTTATAGCAGATTCTCACGCATTTATCGCACTGTGAAGCGCGAATGTGCTGTGTCCGCGTTCTGCGGTATCCGTTCTCACGACAGGGAAGTTTGTAGCGAATTCCCACATACTTAATGCACCGCGAGACTCAGAATTTTCGTGTCCGCAATCTGTGGTATCAGGTACCATTTCACATATTTTGTAATGGCAGCCCATCCTCCTACCCCCTCCATGCTTATCACCAATCCTTTTTGTAAAATTTTGCTGTTGCATCTTCAAACATTGCCCCCCCCCCCCCCCCCCCCCCTTTATCATCATTCATCTTTTCAATTTGGGAGGGCGTTCTTTCGGAACTTTACGGTAGTCATCTGCCCTAGGCATACCCCTTAAAGTTTACGTCCAGTTAGCAAAGACACTATTGCCATTAGATAAATGATCCTCCAGGGATCAAAACCGTGTTTATATTGAACGGTTTTCATTATTTGGCTGTCACTATTTCCTATCTGAACAAATGAGAAGTCAACGAGCTGATTTATACGTAGCTACTGATTTATTTAAAGTCACCTTCAAGAAAAACTAAAGTAGGGCTTTGAAGCATATTTGTACATCTAAGCATGAACTTACAATAAAACAAAAAAAAAAAGACTATTAAAATAAAAGTGTCGTTAAAACGGAAAATAAAAGAAACCTTTACTAAACACACAAACAAGTAGAAAAAAAAATCGGCCCAAAATTACGCATATCATTGCACAAAACATATGACCCCATCTGCAGTTTTATAACTAGGTGCCACCATGCCTCACCCTTCAATGCCTTCTTGGGCCGGCCCATCTGCAAGCTTCACAAAGTCGTCCTCCAGTTCATTGTCTTCGTCTTCGAAGTCGAAGTCGTCGTCCAACGCAGCCACGACATCGGGATCCCAATCGGGTCTCGGACCTGCAAGGGAAGCGCAGCAACGGTAAAAGAAAAAACACTGCCAAAGAGGGAACCCTGCCATTAGACGGTGTCCGTCCTCATGAACATTTTATCCAGCAATGTTTCAGCGAATGGCCGCTGTCATTTTAGGAAACAACGTTACCATGCAGTAAAAAGCGAAGTTCTGGCGCGGCAAGATGTACTACACTCGGCGTCTACAATTTTGTGCTACGTTGCCAAGGCTAGTAGCTTCCACATTGTTCTGTCAAAGCTTGTTGCATGAGCAGATACAAATGAGATGCATGATGAAGCCTCATGCTCTTGTAATAGGCGGGGCTGTAGTGCCATGAAAACAATGCCAGCTTTGACAATGCAGCCAAAATAGTTGACGCAGACTATAGGTGTGAATGCAGAGAAATTTCGACTGCTACTTCACCATTGTTCGCAATCATGTTCGAGCTGCTCAGATTCAATCAATCGAAGTGGGCTAAACTCGTTTTCTAGTGAAATTGTGTTTGCCGAGGTGCGGTCAACTGACTCACCAACTTGTGGGGCGACCTTGTTCAACAAGCCCTCTTTCTCTTCCACGTTTGATTGGAACACAGAAGAGGGTAGTCGGATGTTCTTCTTGTCCTGAAAAGGGGCATTCAGAATGTATTTTAGAGCAACTCACAAGAACCAAAATAACTAAATAACACTGGAGATAAGGTTCCACAGATAATGGGGCAGACGTTGGAATGCCAGCACATACCCATTTCACAAGGACATTGGCACCAAGCGTTTCAAAGGCAAGCCTACGACTTTATGGTTCAGATTCATCCGACAGACACCGAGAATTCTGAGTTTTAACTCCTTTGGGGACATATTAACTATGGTCCAATATGCCATCGGATAGTGAACAGATGCCAGACACACAGGTCCATACATATTCTGACATCTAATATGTCACAGTTAACTCGTTTGGTTATGTAAGTGGCTTAGTCCCATCCGAGTTCTGTTCAGAAGACTGCAAGGGGGAGTGTGTGTGCATCTGCGGAAAAAGCAGGCTTGCCTGAAGCACACAGAGGATGCACCAGTGGTAAGATATGTCTAGTATTCTAAACAAGTGTGCCATGTGAAGGTGGAACGACTCACGGTTGGCACGCTTCCAGAGGCGTCGTCTGTAACCCGAACCCTCTGAATGACGGGTTCCCAGTCTGCCACACGGTTGACATCCTTCAGGTGTTGAAGATAGTTGTAGTCGTCGTCGAAGTAGATGCCATATTTACGCTGCTCCTCCTTCCGCTTTTCGAGCGGGGCCTTTCCCTGCGATCAGGGTGTAAAAACGTCAGGCTCGAGGTGAATCTTAGGCTTAACCGAAGGTCAAGGTGCGGTGCCTGGAACGTGCCTCAAACTGGCGTGTTTACTGCGTCCCAAGACGTGGTTCCCCGATTCCACCCGATAACGCCATGGGAGTGTCATGTTGCCGCCAGCCGCGGTGCTGGCGGTGTCGGAGCAGTGGTGGTGAATGTGGCAGACGACAACGACACTTGTGTTTGCTCGTGCTTTTTGCTGGAACTTCTACGACCAACCACGAGGATCGCGACGTCGGAGAGCATAACACTTCAGTTTTTATGACGTCATTTGTTTTGCCATTTCGGGAGCACTTTCGATGCATGGGCGGAATAGGACGCTAAACACGCCAGTCGGAGACGCGTTTCAGGCTCCGTAACCGCAGGTTTGGGTCACGTTAGGTTTAGTTAGGGTTGCGGAAATGACGTGCACCGATTGGTCGACGCTACTCACGTGGCTCGACAGATCGTCGGTCTGCAGCGGCCTTCCAGTTCGCTTTTCGAGGAGGACATGCTTGGGCGCTGTTTCGTCGGCTTGCAGCGGATCTTTCTGGCTACGGTGGACTAGTTGGAAAGTGACGGCGTTCTTCTTGTCGATGAACTTCTTGCGTTTTCCTCCGGGCTGTTTTAGGAGAGACGATGTTTTTGTAATGATGCATGGGCAAGCCCGTCGGGGCGCGCAGACGTGACATGAAGCTCGCGCCTTACGGAATCCACCGCCGATTGATTGAAGGCATCACTTACCATTGTCGGTGAATAAATTAAATTGCTCCTGTGACGCTAAAAGAAGTTTGTTTTCAGTATGATCACGCTATGATCGAGAAGCAAGCCATTGCGGGCGCCGTATTGCGTACGAAAGGCTCTGGTTCTGTTCAAGTGTTCGATCCACGTCAAGACGCACGCGGCGTCCTCGGAGTCCTCAAGCGCTCTCGTAACATTTCAAGCCACAAGCCACTTGTAATCGGAAATGTATGACGTCATGCATAAGCACTCGCTCGAAGGTGTTCACAAAATGTGGACAATTAAACGCACCCACTACAACCCCGGAAGCGGAAATTTGCGTGTGTCTGGTGTCTCCCTCTGCCGGTGAGATATGAGCCGATGTGCGTCGTCTGCTAACTCGTCGGCATCCACATTCCAACGCTGTCTTGGTACCCGACGCATTGAGGCGCATTGATTTTACCCAGAAGTTCTAATTTTTCACTTAGCACTTGTTTGACTGTTACGTAGTACGCTGATCATTTTCATAGCACCAGCAAACGACCATACTGCCTGTAACGAACATCGTAAACATCGAGCAAAATGTCGACACAAAACGACTGTATCCAGTGCGCAACAACCGAACGGGCGCTCATGTACGCTATAGAAGAGCTTAAATTGCGTCGACAGCGGGACTCAGAGTACGAGACACAGCTCAGTGACCTGGAATCCACGATACAACGCCTCCAGAGTGAAGTGGAAGCCGAAAAGCAGCGAGTTTTGAAAACGTGCGAAAATGCCGAGAAGGAACGGGCCGCCATCTTGGAGTCCCTCGACCGTGAAAAATCACTCCTCGAATCGGAAATAGCAGAGTGCGAAGACGATTTTCGACGCTTGGCGCGGACAGAAGACATCCTACGCCAGAAATGTGATGCCTTGACAGTGGAAAACGCGAGGCTAGAACACCAAGCGGCGGATCTTGAGCAAGAGGTCGACCGCCTGACTCAGCTGGAATCGAACCGCGCAGCGAGTGCTTTTGGGCTTCGCAAACTTCTCCAGGAAAGCCGATTTGAAACACGCCAGCTGGAACAAGAGCAGCGACAAGTGCACGTAGGGACGCGCCAAACTCAGCAGCAAAACGAAGCCCTTCTATTGGAGGAACAGGACCAGATGATGCGAACACGTGATATCGAAAGCGAGAACGACGCCATCAGACTTTCTCTCGTGGAGACCAAGGCAAAGCTTGCTTGCAAGCAGCTTGACGAGGCATGTTCGATGAATCCACCAGCCTGTGAAACATTTGGGCAGATGCAAGTACGGGCTCTGCGAGAAGAGATCTCCAAGGTTCGGAGTGACTACTTGATCTTGCTTAATCAAGTTGGAACAGGCATGTGTGCTAGCGTCAAGGTTCAGACGGACACCATTGACCCCTGAAACAAACTTCGTTCACAGACATCTGTATCTCGTTCAGTTTATTTAATAAACATGTTAATCTTTAAAAATTGAAACTGTCTTAATAGGTTTTTAAAATTTTATTTTAGTGTTTGCTAGCAGCCAAATGGAATGGGCAGCAGTGCACTGCCCTTAGCAGAAGATGCAGAGGAGAAAAATCAAGCCAAACTGTCTTTGTCAGTCAGCAATGCTTTGCAGGTCTATCGGAGCCGTGTCATTCGGCAGGTGGCCCGCACATCGGTGTAAAAAGTTTCCCGACACTTGAAGGTCTGCCCAGATAGTACAAGAAACCTTAGAGTCATCAACAACTCTGTACAATCAACATAACCACGCACAACTAGACCGAGGTCCGCGAGAAAATAATTTTGTCAGAGCGACGGCGACCAATTTATCTCTCATACAAAACTTCGTATAAACTCACGTTGGATATTTTCGATTAAATGACCATGTGACATCGTGACAGAGTTCAATACGACAGATGCCAGAGTTTGCCATACAAGAGACGTTTATTAGGTCTGTGCGTTCTTTGCCTGAGTCAACTCTTCTTGCAGTGGTGGCTGCTTCCACTGAGCACTTGGGCCAATGTTTGGCACAAAGATGCAGCTGGAAAAAAAAAAAAAAAGATATTGTGACGGAAAAAGTTTTGCACGAAGGAACCTCCTGATAAACTGAACTACTGTTTTGTTTTAACGAATGACAATTGACGAGGCAACGAATAACTAAAGGTAGCTAAACGTTTAATGGGGCTAACGTCTGCCCAAAACAATATGGAAGAAGGCTAGCGTCGCTCGCTGGCGAAACGACGCAACCGTGAAAAAACATAAATAAAATATCTCGTTGCCATGGCACGCCATACCATGGCAACGAAATATTTTATTTTATGTCTTTTCACAGTTGCGTTGTTTCGCTAGCGAACGACGTTAGAACGTTCGGCGCATAGAACATGACGGCAAGGTTCTTGAACTTACGAGAACGCTAAAATTAAAACGATAAATCAAAGAAGCGTCCGCTCCCAGGAATCGAACCTCGGGCTTCCACGCGAAAGGCCAAGCACGGTAACTCGGCGACGCGCGTGGCACTATCAAGTTGGCTTCTACGTATAGTGGACTTTGAGTTCGAAGCGAATTCGAAGCGAATAGTGGTTTTTAGCCGAATATTTTCAAATCAAATATCGTACGGTTTCTCCAAGGTTACTCACTACTGTGCACCGTGCTAAAACGAAAATTCAACTGAACTGAACAGATAGTGGGTAGACCTCAGTGCTAGCTGCCTTGAGGTCTACCCACTATCCTTCCAATCAGAGCCAATCAGAGCTCTGCCTTCTGACGTTCCGGATATAACTATATGAAATATAGCATGTAAACGGCGGATTTGTCGCTGCTGTTCTAATCGAGGGGATTTATAAATCTGCTTGCTATAGACCCGTGTCCGAAATCCTAGCCCCCAACGATAAAAATGGCAAATAATAATCTCAAACGCAGGCTTTTGTTGTGAAGAGAGGTGCTGGGCATTAAACAATATTTTTGCTTTTTACAGAACTCTTGGCATCGGCGATGTCCTTAGAGCCTCGTGACTATGCATTTCTGACGTTCTTGCGCTGTGCGAGGGTTTCTAAAAAAACGAAATCTTGCAAAAAGCGCAGCCCTTCTACTGTGATAAAAGCAACAACGGAAACGGCTTGGCATAGCAAGAGTAACAATTTAATTAAACGTTTCGCTTCCCATGCGGGAGGCATCTTTAGTGAGGCAAAGAGCAAAATGGGCAAAAAGCATTCTGCTCTTTGCCTTACTGAAGATTCCTCTCGCATGGGAGGCCAAACGTTTAATTAAATTGTTATTCTTGTTATGTGAAGCCGTTTTCGCTATTGCTTTTACCGTGCCTTCGCCCGGCTTCTGGAGTACATTTGCAATCCCTACTGTGCCATGGCATAAACAAACATGGCGGTGGCCATGGAACACGGCAGACACTGGTCTAGTTTTCTTCTATTTTAATCTTAACATAAAGAAACACGTATATGAACGCGGGCTGTCAAGACATCGCTGCCTAACAGAACTCTCGCTGAGTGTGCATATCACCGAGTACCTTTCCAACGCGGAAAAGCAAAGCGCGCGGAGCCCGCGAGCTCCGCGGGCATTGCTTCTCCGCAGTACGCAAGTGCTCGATGAGAAGCGCACTCAACGGGGCTAACCCGCCGCGATCAACATTTCGAAAAGTACGAATATCACAGTTCACCTCGAAGCGAATATCAAATAGCCTATTATTCGAAACACTGCTACTATCACTAGGTATTTTTCGGTAGGTTTTTGAGATGGTGCAGCTGCTTCGACGAGTTACGGGACCACGTCAAAACAGAGCTCCAGACCTTCAGTCGTGTCTGACCCGACACAGGCTGCGTTTCAACGTTACGCGGAACGTTTTTTGCTGTTGTTTGTTTTACAATTGATCTATCAGAGAAACACGGAAGAGGTTTCAACCTTCGTCTTTTTAGAACTTGATCTGCTTGCTTCGCGAGCCCTAAACAATATCCCCCCAAATATCCGCGACGGCCTCCGTTTTGAATTCTGGCGTAGATGGGTTGAGGAAAACTACCAAGTCACTTTATTTTCCGTTTGGAACGTGCTAGAATTGAAGTAGTTTGTGGCACTGGTTCTATTTCCCCCCCTCCGTCTCTCCTTTTTTTTATTGTAGTTAGCTTAATCGATTCACTTTATTCGTTGCCCCTCCCCCCCCCCCCCCCCCCTTACGTCATATTTCAATATGGCAACCGTCACCGTACAGTGGCACATCGACGTTATCACAGTGAGATGGAGAAAAGACACAGATTGAAAACGAGCACCAATCAAAGCGTAATGAATTTTCCTGGAGAAAGAAAAGGTATTACAGCTGATAAGATCTTATCTGGAGCATCGAACGCAATAAGTTTATATCAATGGACATTCCTCGCTACACCCAATACACTTCCTCCAATAAACTACCACAGGGTAGTATATTGGGCCCCTTCCTCTTTAATATATACGTGAATGATATAGTCAATATTAATGCGAGCGAAAAATTTGTAAACTATGCTGATGACACGAGCACACTGTTTTCTGCAGATAATACTGATCTGTTATTCGATATGGAAAATCTTGCACTGTCTAGGTTACAAACGTGGAGTCATATAACAACGCGTTACAAATAAATGTGAATAAAATAAAAGCCATGCTTTTTTGTTCTAAAAATAAACTCGTTACCATTACCAAGGACATAATTTTGAATTTAACCAAAATCGAGACTGTGAATTGTTTTAAACTCTTAGGTGTCACCTTTTTTGAAAACATGTCGTGGGAAAGTCATAAAAACTTTCTCATTCTAAAGCTATCCCAAATTGCGGGCATGTTAAATCGTCATCGTTATATTTTACCAACAAGCGTTAAATTAATAATATATAATACTCTATTTTTTTCTCGCTTAAATTATTGCCATTTAGTTTGGGGAAAAACAACTTTAACAAATGTAAAAAAAAAAAAAAAAAATTCATGTATCGCAAAAAAAAAAAAAAAAAAAAAAAGAAAGCACCGAGGGCTATAGTTGTCATCTCGTAGGATTTTCCCACAGCTGGCTTATTTCAGAATTTTCGCATCATAAACGTGCATACATTATATGATTATATAGCTTAGCACTAGCCTCAAAGTAGAGCAACTTAAAGACAAATTTTTTAACAGATCTTGGACGCTTATCAAAAAAATGTTCATAGTTACCCTACCCGTGGTGCTGAATGCTGGGAGGTGGCTACACCAAGAACGAACTATGGCAAACAAATGCTTAAATACACTATCGCAAATCTGCTCAATTTGTATATGGCTAAAAGTATGGATTGGGATAAGTTATGTCTAAGAGAAGTAAGATCACCCTTTTTCTCCAGCACCTAGAGGTAGTTGCCTTTCTTTGTATTCTTTGTGCCTAGTTTTTGTATGATTTCATCTCTGCTGTCCGTCATGCACCAATGTAAAAAAAAAGAAATCTAAAATTTGCGCTTAAAATGTTGTGATGGCGACAATCTTTGTACGATTTTTCTTTTCTCTTGATTACTGTTTTTTGCCGGCTCTGTTGCTGCTTTCTGTAGGCGGTCAGGAACCCGTCAAGCTGTACCTGACAGCTTTTTTCCCTGATCGCCACCATCTTAAGGTGGAAATAAAGATCATTATTACATTCGCAGGTCTCGATAATTTTACGGGGTGTTTCCAAGTGCAATTGGGGCGTAAACAATTCGTATAAAAAAAGCCCAACAAACTGAGTGGAATGAAACTTTTCTGAAAGTTGTCTTTAGGTTGTGCGTTTATCACGCCCACATTTCATAAGTGTGGGTTTCAGGGGGAAAAAATGCAAGTCTAAAAAATCTTGTTTCTTTCTGCGCACAAAAAAAAAAAAAAAAAAAAAAACGGTAAAAATAAATAACTGCTTACTAGACGGACTTGCTCACAGATGGCTAAATTGCCGTATAGGTTACGTGACATCAGGGTCAGGTGACGTCGATCTCCCCGTTAAACTTAGCAGGGAACTGAATTGATCTGTACGTCACGGGACGTTAATTTTCCCGCTTAATTTAGCGTGAAAATCGACCTCACGTGACCTCATGTCACGTGACCTATACACCAATTGAACTTCCCCGCTAAATGTAGCAGAGAAACTGAATTCCCATAACGCAACACTGCGCGCATTGCATTATGGGACGCCGCAGGCCTATACACCTATTGAGTTTCTCCGCTAAATTTGGCAGACAAACTGAATTGGTGTATAGGTCTGTGACGTCCCATAATGCAACACTACGCGCGTTGCATTATGCGACGCTACAGGCCTATACACCATTTTAGCTTCCCCGCTAAATATAGCGGGGAAACTGGATTGATGTGTAGGCCTATGACGTCCCATAATGCAACACTGCACGCGTTGCATTGTGGGACGTCACCGGCCACGGGTTCACGAAATCCTTAGCAACTAGC